GGATTTCTTTGTTGTCTGAAATTATAGAAGGTACCTTGGGAGATAAAAGATGGATAAATCCATTCATTTGTTCCTTTAAAAATTGGATGACTATGACGAGGCATTCCATCCTTAAGGTTTACTGATACTTTAGGCAGATGTTGGCTCCCACAATTCCATCTACTCCATTGCACAGCGAATAGGGGGTGCCTGGACCATGCTCACTTGAAAGCCACCAGTGAGGGGACATTAGTTCACACTCCAAATCTTTGGAAAATGAAGTACCTGCAAGTGACTCAGGCAAGGATCATTGTTGGCAGCTAAAACCGTCAGGTAAAATTTGTTAGGAAATAGAACATTTGCAAGAATTCAAAGTGTCACTCTATCAATTACTTGCTAATCACACAGGGAAAATGGAGAGGCAATCTCCAATGATCAGAATGAGGATTTCGAATGGCAGGGGCAACCTTTCATTTCATGCCTCTTGATGTGATGCAATACAAAGATGGCTAAGACAACCTTTTGCATGAAATCTGAATCCAACCACGTTTCTAGACCTGTCAGTTTATAGGAAATACAGATGACAGAAATTAAACACCACCAAGAGGAAAACAGATAAATCCAGAATCTGGGACATTGTACAAGATAACTGGCCTGCTTTCTTCAAGAGGTCGGTGTCATGGGGAAAACAAGGTGAGGTGATGATGCCAGAATGAGAGAATAAAGATACATAACAACCAAATGCAATGTGTAAAACCTAACTAGATCTTGCTTGATTTTTTGTTTGTTTTTTATCGTTGTTATAAAAGGTATTTTGAAAACAAATTTTAAAAGTCAGGGAAAACATATAACTAATAAAGCAAAAAGTTAACCATTGACTCTAAGTGGTAAGTATATAGGTGACAATTATTCTATTTTTCTCAACTTTTCTGAGGGAGGGTGGGGCATACCTCATCAACAAGGGTACCTGCATGATCAATATGTTTGCATACCTAACCCTGAATTGTACCCTGCATCTTTATAAAAACAATTTTTAAAATAAATAAATAAATAAAAACACTATTTTTGAAGTTAAAAAAACTTTACAAAAAAAGCTCGAAGAAACTTTTTCATAAACCAATCTGAATCTGCTTCCATTTGTGTTCACCTAATAATTCTAATTACACCTGCGTCTCTTGGCTCCCACGACTGCCTTCTTTGGCTTCCATTCCTTCCTCTCTAGCTGGGCAGCCCCTGCTGGCTCCTTTGGTAAGCATCTGAAGGCACAGTCTCAAGAGCTCAGCCTCTGGATCGCTTCTCTCTCAGACTCAACATTTCTCTACTCCCTTACCTTCAGCTGCTATTAAAATACTTTGTCCATGGGAATCTAAAGTAGTATAGTCACTATGGAGAATATGGAAATTCCTCAAAAAACTACAAATTGAACTACCGTATTATCTAGCAATCTCACGACTAAGTATTTATCTAAAGGAAAGGAAACTGGTGTACCAAAGATACATCTGTACCCTTAATATTAAATGCAGCACTGTTCACAATAGCCAAGATGTGGAAGCAACCTAGGTGTCCAACAGCAGATGAATGGAGAAAGAAAATGTGGTATATACACAATGAAATACTATTCGGCAATATAGAAGAATACGATCTTGTCATTTGTGGCAACATGAATGGAATTGGAAGGCATCATGTTAAGTGAAATAAACCAGGAACTCCAAACACCTAAAGTTCTCAAATGTGGAAATAAAGAAAACAAAATTATCTCATAGAAGTGAAACATAGAACAGAGGATACTAAAGGTGGATGCTATAGGAGAAAGGGAGAGATAGGGAGAGACTTGTTAAAGGACACAAAACTACAGCCAGATAGGAGAAGTAAGTTCTAGGATTCCACCATGCTAGGATGACATATGATACAGTTTCAAATAGCTAGAAGGAGGATATTCAATGTTGCCAACACAAAGAAATGATAAATGAGTGAGATGATGGATATGCTAATTACTGATCTGATCACTATACATTGTATGTATTAAAACATCACTATGTATCCCACGAATATGTACAATTATTATATTTAAATTTTAAAAATAAAATTTTAAAACACATGTACTAAAAAAAGAAGAAGAAGAAACACAAAGATTCCCAGAGCTGTGTTTCCAGGCCAGACTTGTCAGCTGAGGTACATAGAGATGAACATACAAAGAAACTTTCTTTATACTTCATGGGAAAACCAAGATCTAATACGACCAACTGTCTGAGCACATTCATTTCTCTTACCAAATTCCAACCAGGGAAAGGGTTAATATATTGCAAATCTAATAAACTTCTAATTAATGCTTGCAGAGCAACTGTTTCAGGTAATTGATGTTTTAATTAAGTCAAGGTTGAAACACTTTTAAAAACACATTAGCACGTATCCCTACTTAGTATACACAGTATTCAGGATGTAATTTAATTGTTGATGCTTTTATTCATAATCTTAACGCACTTTAATGTCAAAATCATAAATATCTGTACACCGAGTAAATGTAGATTTTAGATTATACCACAGATTTAAATGACATAAGGAACTGGGCTGAATCTGTATTGCCTCCGGGATTCATTTGGAGTTTACTCAAATTTCAACACTTAGCTATCCATATTTTTAAAAACTCTTTTACACAAAAGTAAACTTGTACAGAAAGACCCAACACTAAGCCTATATAGTTCTTCACAGAAGAGTAGAAATTCATAAAGGGAAGCAAACACCTAACACATAAAGAGTAGCAAACATCTAACAAAGGAGTGATGATATGAAAAGCACACAAAACTCAAGCTTCAAGAGCAAATGACTAAACTCAGGGATCTTCCCTTTAACCAAGAATCTCACTTGTTTTGAGTAAAGCTGTGGAAATATGTGGTGTTTCTGTGGCATTCCAAAAGATTAAAGGCAAGGACGTGAATTTATTTTTACCAAAAAGAGTATAGAAAAAAAGCAAATCTCAAAAAATACAGAAACACATTATGTTCTCTCAAATTAATTCATTTGCACCTCATCTGTATCCTAGCATCACAAAGCTCATATTTACAACTTCTATACAGTTCTCCTATTAACACCAGGATTCCTTTGGCTTAATGTCTACCTGTTCATGGCATCCAGGTATCTAAGCAGATAAGCACAAGATATGACTAATAACTGCTTTCTGTAACCTGAAGTGAGTAAAGCCATTACCCTTAATTCACATGTGGTTCCAATTCACTAATTATCACAAGCATAGAACTGCTACATATACCCAAATTATTTCTATGTTGTCTAACAATGGTCATAATTAGATAACAGGTGATTTTTTAAAAATTTGCCCAGACCATACAAGGTAATCAATTCTCCAGCTAAACCAGTTTCTCCTTTGTTGAGCAGCTAGGCAAAACCTCGAAATAAAATCAAACAAATGAAAACCGATAATTTGTGTATAAAGACAATATTTTTATTTCATCTCCCCTAATGTTTTTTCCTGCTCAAAAAAAGTATAAAGGTCTTTTAGAAGTGCAATGGGTTAGGTCCCCTTTGTTGGAAAGATCTGAAGTCTTCATGCACATGGTAAAGGCATTAGCTTAATCAGTTTCCGAAAGTTCAAGTTGACTAGCCCTCAAGTGAAGAGAGGTACAAAGTAATAACTAATTTTCAACCATGAGTCAGAGAAATCAAACATCTAGTTTGGAAATAATAACAATTTAATAGACAAACAAAACATTATCACAGTGAATAAAATATTAAAGCATTGTCCTTTCTTCATTCAACAGCATGAAAAGTTTTGTTGTCATACATTGATAACTCTTTAAAACTGAATTAATAAAAAAGAAAGACTGCCACAATACACAGAGACACAAATTTAGCACTGCAGACATTATACAAATAAGCAAAATACATAGTGCCCATGTTTAGAGCTTTCTAGAAATCTCATCATATGATAACTCACCAATTTATTCAATGTTACATCTCAGACAAAATGAACATTAAAAAAAAAGCCTTAGAAATATATAAACCCAAACCACAAAACATCTCCTAAGCATATTTACTCTAAGTACAAATGAATTTCTGGAAATTGCATTCACAAAGCTATCTAAACTAGATTTTATGAAATCATAAATGTATTTAGCTATATCATGGGGTTTAAATTCATTGGACCACATCCCACATGTACTTTCTCATCATACTTACCTTGGGCATACATATTTTCAAAGTTAATAGCTATGCAATTAAAATCAAACTGCTATTCTAGTTAAGTGTCAATTCGTTCTGAATAAGAATATTGGAATTGGCCCACTGTAACTATATCACACAACAAATATTTCATCACAAACAAGTAGTCTTAGTAATGTCCCCTTTCTAAAAGTTACAAATATTTTTATGTTAATCATCATTAATGGGCTTTAGAGACTAAAATGCTGTTTTTATTTTTGTCTAGTTTCTGTGAGTATTCTATTCCCCCAACCTGTAATCTGCTAAACAATTTCTTCTCATAAATATATACATTCAGTTTCACATCACGAAAATAAGTTCATTAACTCAAATCACCTAGCATATGTTTTTATTTGAAATAAACTGTGGAAGAACTGGAATCAATTCCAAAACCAACTTAAAATGGGGATAGCAACATGTCAAGCTGCACTCTGCCCCTCTATTTTACTTCCTTGAAGAATCTTTTCAAGCAGGCTATCAACTTTGTGTGTCTCTTGCTAATTCCTCTGCCTGGACTACAACATACAGGCTTGCACATAAACCTAAACCTTTATATCTAGGCACAACTCAGTACAGTACAGCAAAATACTTAGGTTGTCAGCACTTCAAACTGCTAGAGAGTCTCATTGATTGTTTCTAGGTTTTCATAGCCACAATTCACCCCAAATTGTTATAAGTTTAAATTAAAGAAATCCTATAGACTTTAGTATACATTGGGGAAAAAAGCAAGTCTTCACACACTTCTACTAATTAATTTAAATGGAATCTCTTTCAGGATAAGGGGTGGGACTAATTGAGCAATGTGGTTAAATAAATGTTTTAAGGAAAGACTCAAATGAAGGTTTCTATGAACAATAACTGCTTTATGAGAAGTTCATTCTCCTTAGTTCTTCTCAGAGAACCTGAGGAGGACAATAAACAATAGAAAAGTGTATCTCAAAGACAAATGGCCATATCCTACCATGAAGTTGACTTTGATGCAAATTCCTTGATGTTTTTCATTTTCTTTAGTACCGCAGCAAAGCAGGTATTCGGTTAATACCACCCAAGGGAATGAGGGCGGGTTTCCTCTTGGCAAGGGAGAATGTACAGAGGGAACAGGCATCTCAACGGGCATAGTAGACCACAGAGAGTGACATTAACTTAAGACAGAAGACTCCTGAGAGCCATTCCAGGGGACTGCATCAGCAGGAGTATGAGGAGGTATTCATACTTTGCACATAGATATGTCTTACAGCAACCTTCCTCTGGTATCCACCTGCCATGATAGAATATCCATGATTACAAAAGAGGGATGAGCTCCTTCCTAACTCTCCACAGATACCTCTTCCAAGCATACACAGTGCACCTCTGCTGTCTGTCTGCCAGTGCTCAGTGAAATTCTGTCCCTTCTCTGGGAAGACTCACTGCTATCAGTGCTCTATGAAGGCTGAGTTTATACAGTTTTGCTTCTTTGCTAAACCCTAAGTAGAAATGAATGTTTTTACTTCCAGCATACAGGAAAACCAATCAAGCCAACATATGGCCAAAGGCTTTGTTAACGTCATGGATACTAATCATAAAGAACATAAAAGAAAACAATTATAAATTTCTAATTTCAAACATGGCAATATGAGTCAAATTTCTTATTTTGCATATCAGCTAAGAAGGAGGTGCCATACAGTCTAGAAATTCATGACAAACACACTGGCAAAACCCATAAACCATAAGAATAACAAGGCTCGAAGGGACAAGGCTGACAAAGACGACCCCAAGGGTGACTTTCTTAGATACCAGTAAGTAGATCCCTAAGGGTAAAGAGCTAAAGTACAGCAAACCTAGCAACCACACTAACACCCGGATGGATGTCTGAAACAGCAGGGATGTACAGTTCCACACAGTCCAGTTGTGTGACACAGTGGTAACAGAGTCGAAACTTGCAGGCCTGTAAAATTCTACCACAGGAGTGGAGCTCAGAGATGGGGAGCTCTCTCTCTGTACCTCCATGATGGTTATGACCAGGCAATTGGAGGATGTGTGAGAAGGACTGACCAGAGAGGCCAGCCTCTTGGGGGTCAGCAGCAGCTCAGTGGGGTTCTCTGGCAGGCACTTCTTCCCTTTGCCTCCACAAGTCAAGTTTACCAGGATGTTGTTGTCATCGGGTAGGCTACCAACTTCTTCATCTGGCAGGCAAGTCTCAAACCTGCAGAAAGGACAGACGATGACACCCTGTGGAGAGTCACCAAAGTCTATGATCTTGTAGAGGCATTTGGCACAAACCCTATGACAACACTCCAGCACTTTGGGTTTCCTCTGTTTCAGATTGTATCGATTATAACAGATCTTGCACTCCAGCTCCTCAGAGACCTGAGACTCTGCAGTGTCTTCAGGCGGTTGACTGGCCATCTTGAATTGTGTATACAATCTCCTGCCAGATGTGTCTTGTTGAAGAACAGCTTTGATTAAGGTGCCCCTCTGAATATCATATCATCCCAAACAGACAGAGATGCAAAAAGGATGGAAAAGAAGTGAGAGAAGCCAGAAATCTTCCAGGCATTTTCATCTTCTGCATACAACTCTGTCTCAAACGCATATTTATAAAGGCCACATGACGGGTCTGTAAAGAAAAAAAGAGATTCTAATGTAATGAACAGTTTGCTGAAAAGGTATTTCTGAAAAGTGCTTTATAAAATGTTCTGAGCGTCAAGGATTAAAAGCAATAGCCTTAAAAGGTTAAATCTCATCCCGCACCTTTGGGAGGCTGAAGTAAGTAGATTGCCTGAGCCCACGGGTTCATGACCCGCCTGGGTAACTTGGCAAGACCTCATCTCTACAATAAATCAAAAACTAGCCAGGCGTGGTAGCGCGTGCCTGTAGTTCCAGCTACTTGGAAGGCTGAGGCGGAAGGATCACCGGAGCCCAGCAGGTTGAGGCTGCAGTGGCCGGGAGTGGCCATTGCACTCCAGTCTGGGGGACAGAGTGAGACTCCAACTCAAAAAAAAAAAAAAAAAAAGGTTAAATCCCTGTCAACTTCATATATTTCTGTCCTCTGGACAGGAAAGTGTTATCTCCATGCTTAGCTGTTTCAGTCCACAAATATGACAGCAAAGAAATTAAGAATTCTAATGGGTATAAAATACACTATAGGGCTAGCTACGTGCTTTTGGGCATACTTTTTTTAGTCTAGATACAAGAGATTTTCACTCTGAAATTTGTTACAAATTCTGGCCTCTTTGAAACAGAATAGGGTATGTATCAGAAATAGTAGACTAATTCAGAGTATTGTTGGTATAAACACCAGGTGTCTAAATACTCTCAATAGTGCTTAGGAACACACAAAAGAAAGGAATCTTGAGGACAAATGTTAAAATGTGTTTTAGAGAGTACTTTGATAGAGATGAGAACATATTTATGTAGAGCAGACTGTTCTTGCTTTCTCGGTGTAAATACATTTGTTATATAAACGTCTTTATTGTTTGGCTATTCAATTTCAAATTTTTTGTTTCAATACTACTGTTGAAAACTATAGTTGTGCATATACATTCACTCAAAGAATGAGGCATATAACAGCCAATATAAGCCTTATAAACAAGTCAAGTCTAACCTCCAAGAAAGAGAAGTAAACAAAGATAACACACAGTTATCACTCCAGACACGAAGAACTTCTTATGCATGGCTATCAAGAAACACTCAACATTCACCTACTCACTCACTTTATTTCACATAAACTCTCTTTCTATAAAAAACAGAAAGTGCAATACAATCTTCATTCCTTAATATTACTATTACTGGCCACTCCTGGCTTTGGACAAATGGCTGAAGGTTGATTTCATATGCACAGTCAGTTTTCAATGATCAGAAGTAATGGAAGAAGGCAGTAATATAGAAAATCTCCAAATCATTTTCCTTTGGTTTTAATACATGTGGTACTTTTGGTAGTAGATTCACCTAAATTATGTTTTCCTTAGAAAAATATTAAAATTTATTTTAATTTCTGAGCATAACCCCAAGCAATAATAGCAGAAAGCTATCACGGCAGTTCTGAGAGTAAAGTGTAACTATGCTAGAAATTAAAATTTGCTATGGATCATACTGCACTAACAGAGAAGAGGCAGGGGGTAGTAAACTTGGATAATTTTGAAAATCATGAATAGCTGATTTGTGAATACATATTACCTTCTTTTTTATTTATAACTTTGATTAATTTTTGCATTGACTTTCTATTCTACAAGAATGAATAATGGATAGCAGCAGTAAGATATATACTTGATGGCAAAAGGAAGTCAATCAATAGAATCTTTGGTGGTAGGTGACAAGCCAAAAATGTTAGTAGGATTTTTAAAAATAGTTTACTATACATGAATGCCTGCACTTCAAAATTGCGACCATGAACCAATCCCTATGTATCCAGCCTGACACACACACACACACTTTCTTTTTCCTGCCTGACACACACATACACAGACATAAACATCAACTCTTTTGTCCCAGAACCTTCCACGTGCCCTAATAATTTTCTTCATTCTTGATCCTGATCCTGTTCAGGATACACATGTCCACGTCACTGCAGACCATGACTTGCCCAGAAGTCCACAGAGCTGGTGCTTTTTTCTTCCTGTGAGGTGACTTCTCCAGGATGATAGCCAAGGATCAAGAGAGTCTTCTATTCTGCTCACCACGCCCAGTCCTAGCTTCCTTCACAGAATAGTCCCTATCTCTGGGCAGCCTCATTGGTGATCCACTTCCTGGAAAGCTCTCATTCACTCCCTGCTGAACAAAGGTCTCTTATAACAGCCCACTGGTAGCCACACACAAACCAGTGGCCCATCCAAACAGAACTTGTCATGTGTTCTTTGCAGCTACCTTCTCACCCAGCCTTAATGCCCTCCCAAATCCAGAAGTATTGGAGGTGATAGTGTAGGATTAGCAGCAGTAATTGCCACCATAGCTATGGAAAGGTCTGAGGTATGTGAAGTCATGTAAGAAAGAAAAGAAAGTATGTAAACACATTCATAAAAATATCAGGAAAAGAGTCGTCTGGGTTCGGTGGCTCAACCTGTAATCCCAGCACTTTGGGAGGCCGAGGCAAGTGGATTGCCTGAGCCCACGGGTTTGAGACCAGCCTGGACAACTTGGCGAGACCTCATCTCTACAATAAATCAAAAATTAGCTGGGCGTGGTGACGTGCGCCTGTATTCCAGCTACTTGGAAGGTTGAGGCAGAAGGATCGCTGGAGCCCAGCAGGTCGATGCTGGAGTAGCCATGAGTGTGCCACTGCACTCCAGTCTGGGCGATAGAGTAAGACTCCAATTCAAAAAAAAAAGAGAGAGAATGTCATACATCCAATGAGGATGACAAAGCAAAACTACACCTCTATAGGCACAGAAAGCTTGAGCAGCCACATACAAACATCAACAAAAAGTGTATGTGTGAGAATACAGTATATCCTCAGCATTTGATGGTCAGCTGGCCACATTCATACTTTCTGTACCAAGCTTCTAACCATTAGGAGAAGAGTAGCAGGAACGCTCCATGTTGGGCCAGACACAAATTCTAACTGATAATTATGTGAACCCACATTATTTCTTTAGCATTATTGAGATATTGTTTGTAATGAAGCTTTCTTTTTTCACAGAAACACTCTATCAGACTTTTGAATATGTTAAGATATAGTGTTACGTGATCATGTTTATCTGTATAAAAATTTACACTGGTGCTTCTTGGTAACAAGCAAAGAAAATACTAAATGATCAAATAGCCAATAAAAAAGATACCTACTCTAGTTTCAAGGCCACCTCTAGCAAACCCACTTCATCAGATTGAAAGCCTTCATCAAGTCCTGCCCCGAAGGGTGGCACTTCTGGGCAGGATTGGCCGACAGCCTTGAGCTCTGGTGGCATCCCTGGAAATACAGCCAGTCTGAGTATTTCTTCCTGGAACAGCAGAAAACAGCATGGTGATTATTCCTCTTGAAACGCTGGACTACTAACTGCTAGGGTTCTTGAAAAATTTTTCATCTGTCTCATTATGACTCTAAGGTCCCTCAAAGAACTTGAATAACAACCTAAAATCTATAACTTTATAGGGTTACCATTAGTCAGAGTTGTTATTTGGTCCTCTAGGATATTCATTCCAGCGCATTCCCACCCTGCCTTCACTCCTGGCAAAAGCGGTGGACAACAATCATGATGCAGAATGAAAGAAGCCTGACCCAAAAAAGCACGTGCTGAATGAGTCCATTTATAGAAGGTTCAAAAGGCAAGCAAAACTAAGCTACAGTGTTGGGGTGGGGCAAGCTTAGGTGATAAAGCTATGAAGAAAAGCCAGGAAGTGATCAGTCTATAAAGCCTCTGAGTCAGGATAGCGGATGCCTTTGAGGAGGAGGGGCAGTGTGAGAGTGAGCTTGCACAGGGTATGGAGGAGCTGATCATTCTTGACCTAAATCATATATATATATTTAGCTTTTGATTGTGAAAGAACACTAGTACAGGAACTGTGCTGCGTGATGGTACTTATGAGCGTTCACTTTGTGCTATACCATCTTGCAGTACAGTTCCTGTACTAGTGTTATCTTTCACAGTCAAAAGCTAAATATATATATATATATGATTAAATATTTTAGCTATATAACAGATTTTTCTACATACAAATTTTTTCTATCAATAGATATTTTGAATAAATTTACTTTTTCTACATGATCTGTATGTAAGCCCATTACATTTTTTTTACAAAATTGAAACATCAGTCATCTCTCTATCACCTAATATTCAGACGTTACTATAAATCAGTATTAAAATGGATGGAAACTCCAGGATGAGCAAGTCTGCAGCATTCCTTGATAAGAACAAGTGCTGAAAGTGTGTCTCACCAGGCACTAGGGAAAGAATCTGGTACACTAAAATTGCCATAAAAATAAATACAGCCAGACTCGGTGGTTCAGCCTGTAATCCCACGCCTTTGGGAGGCTGAGGTAGGTGGATTGCCTGAACCCGCGGGTTCGAGACCCGCCTGGGCAGCGAGACCTCATCTCCACAATAAATCAAAAAATCAGCCAGGCATGGTAGTGCGTGCCTGTAATTCCGGCTACTTGGAAGGCTGAGGCAGAAGGATCGCCGGAGTCCAGCAGGTTGAGGCTGCAGTGGCCCCACTGCACTCCAGTCTGGGCGACAGAGTGAGACTCCAACTCAAAAAATAAATAAACAAACAAATAAATAAATAAATAAATACAAACAGCTTTATTTTCCTAGAAAAATATATAAAATTTCAAATATGTGAAACTGATATTCGCTTAACAAGTCTTCAATCCTTTTATAAATCCTCAGGAGGTAAGACTATACAAATAGATAATTTCCTACGGTAATTCTCATAAATCAACTTGAGCTCCTGGATTATTGGTCAAATTATTATTTTCACGGCCCTAAGTGTACACTACTTACTCTTTAGCTCAAATCCACTCACTTGGCTACTTAAGTCTCTTGACAGTGAAGATGCAAACTTCGCTTGCATTTTGAAGCAAGGTCCTCCAGGTGGACATCTGCTGTTTTTGTCGACCTAGGATGTTTTTTCTCCTTTAAATCACATCTTCCCTTCCCGATTGTCCTCTCACCCCCTACTCCCTATCCCCTAGTCACTCAAATTATGAGATTGTGGTAGGGCTACACTCAATGCAGCTCCTCTTTCTCTCCACAGGTATGGACTTGGGACTCAGGCTGGCTGGTCACAGTGCTCCACTATGAGCCTCTCAGAGCTCCTGCCCAGAATATTTTTTATTTGAAGCTAGAAGAGGAGACAGGCCAGGGACCGGGGAGGGGGCACAGAACCCACAGTATCAAGGAACTGCCATGCCATCAACAGAGAGAATAAGAGGGAATGAAGCCAAAAAATACAAAAAGAAATAAAAGAAAGCAGGAGGCAGAAATATAGGCAGAGGAAAACAGAGACACTCCTGATGATACCTGAACTAAGTTTCTGGATCCAATAGCATATAAAAGCTTCTATGCGTCAATGAATTCCCTTTTTTGCTTATACTAATTTCTTGGTTGAATTTCTTTACTTAACTCAAAGAGCCCTAATACAGTTACCATGCTGTACTTGACTTTGATAATGTATTGTATGTTTAAATCTAGATTTCTACTTAGCACTACAGAAATTATACATAAATAATTGCAAAAAAAAAAAAAACACAGAGGCAATAGGCATTCTCTTTTAAAATTTCACTTGTACATGTGTGTGCACACATGCATAGACATGCACACACACATACACACATTTACACACATAAATATACAAATGTCATCATAAACATTATTTTGTTATTAGTTGTTTTTGTATGTATGTGTGTTTTTATTTGGTTCTTTCCTACTCCATCTGTAACAGCCTGAATGCCACCCCTCTCTCACCCCAGAACCCATATTAACTACCTGTTTTCTCTATGTAGGTGGTCCACAACTTAAGATGGTTCGACTTACTATTTTTCAACTTTACAATGGTGTGAAAGTCATACACATTCAGTAGAAACTGTATTTCAAATACCCATAAAACCACTCTATTTTTCATTGTCAGTATGGTATTCAATAAATTACATGAGCTACTCAACACTTTATTATATAAAGTAGCTTTGGGTGAGATGAATTTGTCCAACTGTAAGCAAATTTAAGTGTCCTGAGCACATTGAAAGTAGGCTAGGCTAAGCTACGATGTTTGGTAGATTAAGTGTATTAAATGCATTTTTAACTTTAGGTATTTTCAACTTCCGATGGATTTATTGGGACATAACCTCATCATAAATTGAAGAGTATCTATATTTCTCCATGTGTATATAAATATAAAGACACAAATAAGCACAATTTTTTTTCTAAGCAGTAAACTATACCCGGTTTTCTGCATCTTGCTTTTCTTATTCAGTAATAGCTCACTAAGATCTCTCAATTCAACTGATATAGCCCTAAATTGCTTTTATAATGGCTGCATAATATTTCACCATTTGAATGTATTGTAATATATCCAAACATTCCTCTCCTAGTGAGCATTCATTTGTCTCCGTTTTTTCCCCAACATAAGTAATACGGCAGAACAAGACCTTGTAATCTACATCCTTACACATGAGTGTTTTTATTTTTCTAAGAGAATAAGGAGTGGAATTCCTGGATCAAACAGATACTACTTCTAACCTATGTTGCCAGATTGTTTCCCAAAAAGGTTGTAACACATAATTCAACCAGTAATATGAGTATTCTTTTCCCCTAACATCCATAGTTATTGAACTTCTAAGTTTTTGCCACTCTAGGGGTATTCTTTCCATTCTTTCTGTTTTTCTACTTTTTATTAGTATCTATGAATTTTATTATATGCTTTTTCAGCATCTATTGGTGTGATATGATTTTCTGCCTTTAATTTGATCATGTAATAGATTGTCCTGATAGGTTCTTACTTTTGTGTTCTTGAAGGAAGCCCTGCTTGATCATAGTTGGGTTCTCAAATACACTGACAGGTTCTATCTGCTGCCATTTTATTTAAAATTTTTGCAACTATACTCAAAATTAAATTGGTCTCTAGACTTTTTTATGCTCTATCAGGTGTTGTATTAAATGTATTTTTATTTTATAAATGAATCAGGAGGTTTTCATCCTCTTCTGGAACAGTTTAAATAACAATAAAATTATTTGTTCTCTAAAAGTTACATAAAACTCAGCTGTAATTCCATATGATTCCACTGCAATTTTCAATGGTAGATCGTTAATCACTTTTCCATCTCTCTTAGGACTGTTGTCCCATCCAAGTTTTCCATTTCTTCCTGAGTCAAATTTGGATATTTATATCTGGCAAAGGAAAAATCCACTTATTCTGGTTTTTCAAATTCATTGCAACAGAGTTGAGCAAATTCTATCTTTATTATCTCCTTTTCATCACCCCTGCATCTCTGATTATGTCCCTTTTCTCACTAACTTCTAGATTTTTTTCTCTTTATTAAATTTCCTAGTCAAACACACATATCCTTATGCCTGCTTTATTGTGCTTTTTGAAGACCCAACTATCATATGTACTTTTCCTGCTATTTTTTAATTTCACTAATTTCAACTTTTATCTGTATTATTCCCTCTAATTTATTTTAGTTTGGTTTGTTTTGTTTTCTTCCATTTTATAATAAAAGCACATTTTGTCTTCATTTTTAAATAATGAAAATATCTAAAGGCTATAAAATTTCCGCTGATTACAGCTTTCACTCTATCCTATAGCTTGTGGAATGCATCCTTTTCCAGATAGCTTGTGATTTGACTTTTAATTTCTCCTTAGATACAGTAGATAGAGGTTTTTTAATTCTAAGTAGTAAAATTTCTTTTTATTACCTTCTGTTATTTATTTCTAACATTAATAGATTACGATTAGAGAACAAGATCTATAATAATCTCTTTTTCTTGGTATCAATTAAGGTACCCTTTTTGGTCAAGTATATGATCAATTTCTCTAAATAAACCAGAAAAGAATATTCTGTGTACAAGGGGTATAAGATTCTAACATATCTACTAAATTTAACTTTTTTATGTATTCAATTTCTCTATCACCAAGTTATGTGCAAGGTTATGACAGGCTGAAACAAGGTTTATTAAAGTGTCTCACTATAATTATATGTGTATTAAAGTCTCACTATAATTATATGTGTATTTCTAATAGTTTTATTTTACAGATTTAGTGGCTATATTACTTTATGTATACAGATTTATCTTCTTCATAAATGCTGCCTCATTACATGTCTTTTCTTATTTTATGTATGCCTTTAAGTTAAATATGACTTTTGCTAACCTTATATTGCTAGTTCTGAGTCTGCATTTGGCTGGGAGGTTTGTCCATCCTTTTATTTTCATCAACAACCACTTCAAGTGTTTCTTACAAACAGCTTATTACTGGGTTTTTCTTTTTAGCTCAGTCTGACAACTTTC